CTCTCGATCTATTATAAGACAAAGAGAGAATGGAAGATGGAGTGTGTGCCACGTGCACGTTTTCCGGAGTGCAAGAGTTTGCCCGCTTTGTGTCCTTTATATGTGTATTTACATTTGTATGTATTTTTGTCCGTGCAAACAAATAAAAAAATATTTTCTCTTGATGGCATCAATGTGCACTAGTGTGTGTGGGTAGGGGGGTGTGCGGAGATGGGCTATTAAAGCTATAGGACAGTGATTTTTGCTCCAGGGGCTCTTATAGAGAGTGGATGCTGCAGTGTGCTCTGTTAAAAGGTTAGATCCCCTCTCCCTCAGGCCAGGTTACTATTCTGCTTCTGTGTGATGGTATGGCTATAAATAAATAAATAAACAAATATAAATATATATATATATATATAGCAAATGTATTTTAATGCTATTTCTATGTTTTCATTGAGTTTATGCAAGAATTGCATAAAATTATTGCAAGAATTATGAGTAAAACAACTCAACCTCAGAGGTTTCAAGTCTTACAGATGCAGTTTTCAACAGTACAAAGTTGAAACTGTTCCCATCTGAAACACATGGGTGTTATACATAACAGGTCAAAAGTATTTCTCCAGTCACTTTTTTCAGTCAGATGTTTTCCCTTCATTAGCAAAACCTGCAAACGGCTGTATGCTCTGGGAGAGATCTTGTCTAATTAAACAGGTCCGGGGTCAGGCAAGGTAATCTCCATCCTCGCTGGGGAGGCCACATCACGGGCCTTCTCACTTGCAGGATAGAAAGAGAAAACTGTCCCAGAATGGATTAGATCCAAGACTAGATACAATGATGTGTGAGGTAGTGTAGCTGATCCTGCTCTGTGCTGTTATGCAATGTGATGTACTTATCACTTTTAATGCACTGCTCAAAGATTTCAGGAATGAATATACCTTATTAAAAGAATAGGCAAGTACCAATTCTAAGGATCCTGTAGGACAGTGATCTTCAAATCTGGCCCGCGAGATCCACTTTCCTGCAGAGTTTAGCTCTAACCCTAATCAAACACACCAGAGTTTGCTAATCAATGTCTTCAGGATCATTAGAAAATCACAGGTAGGTTTGTTTGATTAGGGTTGGAGCTAAACTCTGCAGGAAAGTGGATCTCGCGAGCCAGATTTGAGGATCACTGCTGTAGGACAAAGTCTAAAGAGCATTTATGCGAATACCTTAAAACTTAAGAACAGTTTCAGGTGGTAACAACCGTCAGGAATACTATCTGACAGCTTACACACACAACACAGCGACAGGACTCATATGGACCCCCTCCCCATGTATTGCACATACATTGCATCACATGTATTGCTCTAGACACCTTAATAATCCACCTCACTCCAGCCATTTTAAAAGTGTGACAATTACTATAATAACTCTCATTGTTACAGGATGCAATTAGCCATTTTATGCTGACTATGTCTACTGTTTGTATATGTAGACTGTTTATTGTCCCTCACGTTTATTACATTGAGTCTGTAACATTGAGTTACTGTGCTGTGCACAGTGTGTTTCTAAATGCTGATGTTTGCAACAAGATATCTTGGGAAACTATGTTTGGTTTTATCTGTCTTGACTTTGACTCTTGACTTGTCCTATTTTTGTTGACCAAAAGTACTTTATCTATAATAAATACTAAAGACTATAATAATTCTATTCATAACATCAATTCAAATAAGAAGGTTTATTCATTTTTGTAAATAAAGTTTTGGAGCTGTTGGTTCTTATAAATCAATAAATCAAAAGAATCCAAAAGATCTGGAGCAGCATTATTTTAGTATCACAATTATAAAATTTTACATATAACTGTATATTTATTTTTTTATACGTTTTAGTAATTTTGTTGTCAGTTTAAGTATTTTTGTTTTTTATGTCTATATAGTTTTAATTTCAGTTTTATTTTTTAAGTACATTACTTTTTTTATAGTTTATTTCGGTTAAACTTTTTTTTTTTTCTTTGGTTTTAGTTTTAGTATAATAACTCTGATCTGGAGTGATTCTGAAGAGGCAAGATAGCAAAGGTCACAATAAAAGTTGTATGAGGGCCCAGCCTACAGGCCAACTATCCATTCAAATTCAGGAGGGTGTTGTTCTTGGCACCACATGTCATCACTAGAATAACAAGACAATACACCCCAATTATGGGATTAGGATCGTTTACACTAATCGAGCCATAAAGGGCTATGACATACACCTCACACACACAATGAGATAGTTGGAGGCTCAGGACAACTGTTAACAACCAATGCTTTCTAATCAAACGCAAGTCACATTTTTTTGTTTTTCACCTTTTCTCACTGATTTATGTGATAATTTATTCTCAAACATAAAATACAACTGCATAAATCTTAATAAAAAAAGTCAAACTTCTGGAGATTTTCCTGTCTGTTAAAGAATGCAAAAATTACAGACTAGTATAAGTTCGTGCTCCTCAAAGCTTAAGGCACCTTGCTTTTAATCTTTTTATTTTGACTGCAAAGTCAGACACAGCAACCAGCTTTAGCATAACACTGTTCTCCTTTAATCACGCTGCATACACACACTCATAGTCCATACTCCATCATTTTTGGTAATTAGTTGCTTTTATCTACATTAACCAGACTACAGGATAACACCAGGGATGAATCGTACCTTTTTGATGTGGAACAGGCTTTAGGAGATCTGAGAATTTTGGGCTTTTCTCAGAAATCCTCACTACAGTATACATTAAGCTCTAGGTGTTTGATGTTTGGGGAACTCAAGCCTTTTGGAGGGTAAAGTGAATGTATATACAGTATATAATCATCACCTTAATGTTGGTAAAAATGGCAAAAGGTAGTGCCAGTAGCTCACCGAGCGCAACCATTTGAAGTAATCAAAATAATGGCACCCCCGATATTCCAAAGTATGTATAAAACGATGTGGATTTTTTAAATAATGTAAACCTATCGTGGGTTTTCTACTACATATTTTAGTAAGATTCATAATTTATGTTATATTAAGCCATACAAGTCTTAATACCCGGGGTTCCATTTAAACAAAGAAAGAAATATAAGTTTAATTATTGTTACGGAAGTTTTTGAATTAAATTATAATTGTTCAAAAATAACTTTTACTGTTATTAATTATTTGAACTATAAAGGCTTTTACAAGGTGAGTTTGTAAATATATAATTTAATTACAGCTTGTGGTCATTTTGCATTATTGACACTATTTTCCTAATTAATGCTGTTCAGTTGCTTTGACACAATCTATATTGTTAAAAGCGCTATATAAATAAAGATGACTTGACTTGACTTGACTTATTTTCCTCAATGATCAAAATGAGTTTGTTGCTCTTATAAACTGTGGACTTTGGTAAAACAAAAGTGAATTAATCAATCAGAGCAAGCATATGTGAAATGCCCTTTAATTCCTGCCAAGAAGAAAACACCGACTTACATCATTCTAGCCATGTACGCCAATAAAACCAGACACACTGCCAGTTTCACCTAATTCTGCCAAGCTACAAGGCCATGACATGCTATGAACCCCTTAACATGACAAATAACAACGAGTCCTCCAAAATGACACACTATTGCACACCGATTCTGTAAGGAGCAGATGAATGACTGTGAGAGGTGTAGGGGTGAAGTAGTTTTGGTCCAATGGTAATAATAACTCTGGGAGAAAGAGATTATTTCAGCAGGTCCTAGCTTGACCTACATGGCTTAATCTTTTATGGGTCAAATCAGTTTATGCCTGGACATGGCCGGGTTGGCATCAAAATAAAATGATTGCATCCTATTCAAACTAACTGCATAAATCTGTAAATGTTCTTGTTTTTTCGTTACCTCAAAGTGGAGGGGGAAATCTCCATATTTTCAATGCTGTATCCATGCACTGGATTTATGCACTGCAGCTTAACATGTTCTTATAATTAAAGCTATACAGCAGCACCCAGTGCTGAGGCTATGATCCACATGAGGCTATGATCTCCTCAGAGGCTTGACAGGGGCGCTGAGGCTGTAGCATTTTATTTTAAAGCAGGGGCCTGGTTTCTTCGGCCCATGCAGTTGAAATGAAGTAGGAGGAGAGTTTTTTTTATAATCGCATGTTATAGATATCACTATTTCACTGGGCATTGGACATTTCTTCGTGGATATAAGGTGGATGTTGTTTTGCATTTAGTGCTGCATCCAAACAACTGGAATATTTATTTTCTCTCCACACCCAACCTATAAGTTTCATGTAAAATGCACAATTTTCTCATAAAATATCAATTTTTAAGTGTGTGCGCTAAGATATCTTGTCTCATCGTGTTTAAATGTCACATCACCGATAACCTTTAGTTTAGGTTTATCCTTATCTTGCATTTAATTCTGCTGGAGCAGCTGGGTGGGTGCAACGCCAGTTTAATGATATAAGGACAAAATATTTTATTTTATGTTAGACCGCCTTTATAATAGGGATGTGCAAAAATAAGCATAATAAATAATTATTTTTTTATGTCCTAGCGCAGCCGAATGTGATTACGCATTTATGCGTTTTAAAGACAATATAGATTCCTTATTACTGTGATCGAAAAATAAAATGAAGTGAAAATCATGTTATAGCAGAGATAGCTGTTGCGTTTATCAATTTTAAAAAGCAGCAGAATTGAAATAGCCATGGCACCTACACGCCCCTCTCTCAAAACAGCTGCTGAAAACGACCCAGACGTCTCCTAATGCCTTCAAAATCTTAACAATCACACATATAGACTAAAAAACAATATGCAGCGGCTGGTCACTGTGTGTCGAGACGTTTTTCGGTTCGGAGCGAAAAGCGCAACCGGTCACAGTGCAGGTGTTGGTTACGCATACAGGCGTGTGACACATTATAATGTGCTCGGCAAATCTTCAAGGCATGTGACTTGATACATGTAACCACCATATTCATTCATTATTTTCCAATAATCTGCAAAAACATCGCACTTTCATGTATAAACTCTCCAAGCCATAATTCACGCGTAATGGTCTACTTACGCACAGCCTCCAGTTTTGGATCCAGCGCACTGGCGGTTTGATGGATTTTGGCTATTTTGTTCTGCAAAGCCCAAACCCGTTGGTTTGTGGAGACTATTTCGTTCTCAAGCTCCTGAAATAAGGAGCAGGCGTGTTTGGACAGGTCGGAGAGCTGCCGCAGGGTCCGGGATAGAGCCACATTGGTGATGGAGCACAGATCCTCGAACAGTAACCCTTCATCATTAGGGATGGGGTGTCTGCATAGCAGCTGGGGCTCAACGATCCGTTTGGCAAAAGGCATTTTTCAGTAGGTAAATGGAAATCCCCCATAAATAAACCAATCAACTAATCCAAAAGAAGATTCTGGTGCCTGTCAAGCAAAAATCCACGAATCCTCCGCGCAACCCGCCATCACTTCAGTTCTCCCGTTAGAGGAGATCACACAGGGATGGAGGTTTCTCAGTGAAATTCTCTGATCCTCCTCTGGACCTGAGATACCTTTTGGTAGGCTAGAGGGTTTTTGAGGGCTCGGAGGCTGAGAATGCATAGAGAGAGGCTTTGCAAAAACACGGACTGGTCTACTTGCGCCAGGAGCGGAGAGAAACTACGCATTCTACTACGGCGAAGGCATGCCTCTTAAATAATAATTACAGCACGATGACGTCGCCTTGAAAGCGTCCAGTCAGGCGCCTCATTAATATTCATGAGCAAGACCTTAACCGTAGTAGGTTTTAAAAGAAAAAAAAAGCTTTCATGGACGAATATCTACACACGTTTATATAGCTTTGATGAATTCATCTTGTCAAGCCACCAGTGTTCTAGAAGGTGTTCTATAAATAATGTATTAGGCAGTCTTGTAACACATTTCGTTATAACAGCTAACTGTTTTTGTTGTACGTACAGTAAATGTTGTGGGTAAAGGTATTAAATGTACTGCTTATATAAAATAATTCTTATACATAAACAATATTATTTTCTAATATAATACAACATCTGCTCAGGAAATCGGTGGTCATGTATAGTGATTCTAGCCCGTTTTTAATTGGTTAAAATAAGTTACAACTCACCCTGCGTTACAATAAAACATATAGTCTCCTCACCAGCTATAGGCAGTTAAAGTCTTTTCAGTCTGCTGAAATGAATAAGTTCATTCACAACCCCTCACTACGTCCATTGTGATTGCTACAAAGGTGACAAAGTAAAGTATCTGTGCCCCGTTTTGGAACCGCAAAGGTTGCAGTTACATCATTGCAGCGGTTTTCCGGTTAGGGGTTCCGTTTGGATAAACTTTATCCACTCTTTTGTCGAGGACTTAGAGATGCTTAGGGCTTAACAACACTCAAGCTGAGCTGAATGGTTAGTATAGAGGTATGGATATATCTGAGATGTGAAAGCTGTTGAGATGAGTTTTTCTGAATTTACTCTCTATTCTTAAATTAGAATTATATTGAATATGTTACCAGCACAAGATCCGTACCATGTGCGGCGAGCAGCCTCTCGTGGTGGAATTTGTGCAGCAGCTAAAATTCAAAGCGTAAAAAGAAATATTACCACCTGGTGGTCATATTATGCAACTAACACTAGACAGCGAATTGTCACTGATTGAGCAATATAGGGGAAAATGTATTATTTTATAATCATGAACAGAAAATAAAGATATAACCTCCTTAACAGAGCCTCAGTTTCTCACATGCTATACTCTCACTCAAATTCTGATTGTATGTATTTGTGTATTTAATAATGTATTTATATTCATTAATATAAACAAATGCACACACAAAATATTACATTATTTTGAGAATATCTTTAAACTTAAAATGAATTTAAGGCTGATTTGATGAAAATAAGGTTGCAAGTTGGATCTGCAGTTCTTTTACATTTTACATTTTAGTCATTTTGCAAATGCTTTTATCCAAAGCGACTTACAATTGGGGAATACATAAAGCGATTCTTCTTAAAGAGGCAAACAGATCCAGGAAGTGCTCATAATACCAAGTTTCAGGTATTGTTCAAATAAGTACAAGCTAGAAAGGGAAGGAATAAATAAAAAGAAATATGTTTTTTTTTTAAATTTAGGATGAAGTGAAGTAGCGTCAAAAGAGATGAGTTTTCAGCTGTCTCTTGAAAATTGTCAGGTATTCACCATTCCGGATAGGGGTGGGAAGATCATTCCACCAGCCAGAGGTGCTGAGCCTGAGGCTGTTCTATATGCAAGCATCAATGTCTTGAATGCGAGCCGCAACTGGTAGCCAGTGCAAGGAGATAAAGAGAGGTGTAACATGGGTTCTTTTGGGCTCACTGAAGACCAGTTGTGCCGATGCATTCTGAATCATTTGTAGAGGTTTGATTGTGCTTGATGGAAGTCCAGCCAGAAGAGCATTGCAGTAGTCCAACCTAGAAATGACAAGAGCCTAGACAAGAAGTTGTGCAGCATGCTCTGTTAGAAAGGGCCTGATCTTTGCAAACCTACAAGATCGAGCAGTCTTTGCAATGTAGTCTTTGAAGGTCAGCTGGTCATCAAAGATTACAGCAAGATTTCTGACCGAAGTTGATGGGGTAATTGTAGAAGAACCTAGCTGGATGGTGAAATCATGCTGTAGAGATGGAGTGGCAGGGAAGACAAGAAGCTCAGTCTTTGCCAGGTTGACCTGTAGGTGATGTCCTTTCATCCATGCTGAGATGTCCGCCAGGCAGTCTGAGATCCGTGCAGCTACTGTTGCCCACAAGGCTTCTGTGACTGCAGTCTCAGTTGAATGGCCACTCCGGAAACCTGACTGGTTAGCATCCAGTTTGTTGTTCTGTGAAAGAAACAATGATACCTGGTTGAAAACAACTCGTTCGAGGGTTTTTGCTATGAATGGAAGGAGAGAGACAGGTCTGTAGCTCTCTATAAGAGAAGTATTTCATGTAGGTTTTTTTAGCAGTGGGGTTACCCGAGCCTGCTTGAATGCAGGGGGGAAAGTGCCTGTGAGGAGAGATGTGTTGATGTGTGTGAGTGTTGGTAAGAGTGTAGGAGAGATTGTTTGGTTGAGAGAAGTTTTGATACTTCTGCCTCAGTGAGGGGACAGAAGGAGAAGATGGGAGTTTTAGCAGTGGGTGTGGTTGGTTTGTGGTCCTGTGTGTGGGGTTGAGAATTGACTACTGATTGTTCTAGTTTTGTCTGTGAAGAATGTGGCGAAATCATCAACTGTTATAGAAGTGGAGAGAATTGAATGTTTGGAAGAGATTACGTGTGTCTGGAGCGCTGTTGATCTTGTTGTGGAAGTATGAAGATTTGGCAGTATGGACTTCAGCAGAGAAAGATGAAAGCAAAGACTGATACATACTCAGGTCTGACGGATCTTTTGATTTGCGCCATTTTCTCTATGCTGCCCTGAGTTTGATCCGATGCTCACGAAGAACATTGGATAACCAGGGGTTAGAAGGGGCAGCCCGTGCTGGCCTGGAGGAGAGAGGACAGTTATCGTCTAGACAAGAGGTTAAAGTAGAGCATAAAGTGTCATTTGCTGCATTCACATTCAGAGATGAGAAAAGGGTAGGTGAGGGAAGAGAGGAGGATACTACAGAGGAAAGATGGGAGGGGGAAAGTGAGCGTAGGTTTAATCTAAAAGTAACCGGTATGGGGGTTGGTGGCACACAGGTAGCAAAATGTAATTTAAATGTAATGAAGAAATGATCAGAGATATGTAGGGGTTCTACCAAAATGTTGTCTGCAATACAATTGTGTGTGTAAATTAAGTCAAGTTGGTTGTCTGATTTGTGCGTGCTTGTAGTGGTAAGTCATTTGAGATCAAATGAAACAAGGAGTGAATGGAAGTCTGCAGCATGAGGCTTGGACAGATGAATGTTAGTTGCCAAAGACTAAAAGTGGATTGCCATCCTCCGGGAATGAGGACAGCAGCCCGTCCAACTCCTCTAGGAAGGTGCCTAGAATTTGCCCAGGAGGGCGGTAAATTACCACAACCTGGAGTTTTATAGGAGCTGTTACAGTAATAACATGAGATTCAAATGAGTTATAATTGCATAGGGGAGAGTGGGTTGAGTATTTCCAATTGTTAGAAATGAGCAGACCAGTGCCCCC